ACCATTTTGGACATTGATTAATAACAATTTGAGAACTATTCATTTATTAGACTGTCCAGAAAGTCTTTTCATCGTTTCTTTTCATACTTTTATTAAAAAATAACAAATTCATCAATTAATCTATGGTTTTCTCGGCTCTTGCGTAGTTTCCGAGTCTTTTGAAAGAATCCGGGTCTTTGAACGACCATTTTGAATGGGGTGTCATCCTTTGTAGGCCTATAATTTTGTCCAGAGAGAATATTTTTGCTAACTTTTTATATCATTATACAGAGGACATTTCAGGCTTTCGAATGATACCAAATAAAGCTTGATTGAATAATCGAGTCCAAGAAAGTCAGAGCCAACTCTAAGTAAATGGGGCCTATCCAACTCTGGTGTTGTGTCGCCAGATTTTCTTGGAATCGATTATTCAATCAAGTTTTATTTGGTATCATTCGAAAGCTTGAAATGTTCTCTGCACAATGATATAAAAAGTTAGCAAAAATATTCTCTCTGGACAAAGTTATAGGCCTTCAAAGGATGACGCCCCATTCAAAATACCCGGCTTTTTTCAGCAGCATTCCTAAACGGCGAAAAACGGTTAAAATTGGCTAAAATCGAACAAAATCGGTCAAAATAGGCCAAAAACAAGGCCAAGCTTTTGAAATTGGGCTTTCTTTCTATTTATATAATCAAAATCTATCAAAATCGATCAAAATCGGTCAAAATAGGCCAAAAACAAGGCCAAGCTTTTGAAATTGGGCTTTCTTTCTATTTATATGATCATTTTATCCATTTTAACCAATTCTACTTACTCATTTAGATCCAAAACTATTTAAAAACTACAAAAACTCCAGAATTTAGGTTTAGTTGCTTTAGATTTCTTTAGAATGGCTTTAGAATGGTTTTAGGATAGCTTTAGATTCTTTAGAATGGCTTTAGATTCTTTAGATTTCAAGTGTTGATCATATTCTATAGAATTTTATCGAAATTCTATAGAATTTCTTGTCTTGAAAAGCCCCAGGCAAGCAATAGGACTAAAAATGGGACTGAAAAGGAGGAGCGGATGGGATTTCCAGACACACACACACACACACATTTTCTTTGGCTTCTTTTCTTCTTTTTCTTTTTTTGGTGCCTTCATTGAATATCCGGGAAAGGGCTTTCCCTTCCAGGATCCCCATTTGTCTACTCTCTTGTTTTTTCAGCTTTCAATACCCATCCCTTCAGTCCACAAAGAAAAGTTGGAAAAAAAGCTAAGCCTAGCTAAGCCTAGCTAAGCCTAGCCAAGCCTAGCCAAGCCAAAACCAATGGCTTTAGCTCTTCTTTTGAATTAAATGGCTTTAGATGGCTTTAAATGGCTTTAGATTTCAAGTATTAAACATATTCTAGAGTTCTTTTCTTTTCTTTAGCTCCTGATGGCTATCTTTCAGACCTTGAGCTTATTAAAACTTTGGCTTTGTTTATGGCTTTTAAAAAGTGATAAGTTGATAGCTTTTAAAGAATCATTTTACCAAATTATGATAATTTTTGTCAAAAACTAGCTAGAGAAAAGGGGTATTTGAAAAACGAAAAGTAGAAACTAGAAAAGTGCTCAAACTGTCACATTTAGTAGAAAAATGAAGATCTTTTAAGCAGTTCAGCGCTGAGCTTTAGCTGGGCCTTAGCTGGGCTTTAGCTGGGCTTTAGCTGGGCTTTAGCTGAGCTTTAGCTGGGCTTTAGCTGAGCTTTAGCTGAGCTTTAGCTGGGCTTTAGCTGGGCTTTAGCTGAGCTTTAGCTGAGCTTTAGCTGAGCTATTAGATTGGTTTTTGTTTTGTTTTTTTTCAACAAGAACGCGCAAAAAGAACACTAGTCACCTTTCTTGAAAGAAAGCAAAAGAAAGCAAAAGAAAAATTCCTAGTGGGGCTCGAACTTGTGAGGTCTCGAGCTGTAAACGAACACTCTACCACTCGGCCACGCCTGCACCCAATCTTGCCCGCAAGAGATTTGATCCCAGACTCATTTCAAAACGCCTTTCTAATGATCTGTTGACTTGATTGAGATCCCTGAGATCTTGTTCTATAAGATCGACCAAACTAAAAAACCGAAGAGTAAACGGAAAACCCAAAGCGAGGATCGAACTTGCGAGGTCTCGCTCTGCAAACGAACCCTCTACCACTCGGCCACGCCTGCACCCAATCATGCCCGCAAGGAAGCCGCTAAGAGGCTAAAGAGAGACCGCTAAGCCCCAAATGATCACATTTTCATCTAGAGTCCTGTTAACTCGCTCTGGAGTAGGGGAGCTTAGGTGCGTTGTGGTGTAGTGGTTAGCACAGTTGGCCGGTCGAGTTCGCAGCGCGAAAGGTCGTGAGTTCGAGTCCTTGCGGCGCACAAGTTTTTGGTCTTCCCTAGTACCAATTGTTCTAACAAAACTTTAGACGCTTATAACTCCTGACAGATTGTCATTTGGCAAAACCGGACTATATATTCAGAATCAGCATCAAATTCTGCATCGAATGGTATAAGTCGCATAGCATTTGGGTAGCTCAACTAGTTAGCTAAGTCGAGGAAATGCTTTGCGACCTTGTACCTTGTAAGATAAGCCATGGAGGATGGTTTAGACCTTTGGTTGACCTTGGTTGGTTTGCCATGGAGGTCTAAACCATAGGTTCATTCGTGAATTTATTATTTTTCATGAAAAAGAACGAAAAGCTTTATTCATCGACCTAATATCGCTTCAGACTAGCCCACATCTTTCCTTTAGGGTCTACCCTAGGGCTTTCCCCTGCCATTCCCTATCTTCGATCCCTCTCTCTTCTTTTTTTTTGGCTCACAAATGCCCCTCCTTGGCTTTCCTACTTCCTTCTTCTTTTTTCAATGTCATCTAAACTAAAAGATTCCGAAATTTGCTGGCTTTTTAAAGTTAAAGTTTTGAAAATTGCTTTGAAACTAGCTTTGAAACTTGCTTTGAACCTTGCTTTGAAACTTGCTGTGAACCTTGCTTTGAAACTTGCTTTGAAACTTGCTTTGAAACTTGCTTTGAACCTTGCTTTGAAGCTTGCTTTGAAGCTTGCTTTGAACCTTCCATCAACTTCCTTCCATTAATCTATCCTAATCTAGTCCTCCTAGATTTAATTCAAGATTCTTTTTCTTTTTCTTTTCTCATCTTCCACATTATTAGATAAATAAGCCAAAAATCAATAGGTTTATTGGTTTTTCAACGAAACGCACAGCTCTTCTTCTCATTTTCCTTTTTGTACGTGAAAGATTCGATTTTGAGTCAAGCTTTAAAAGCTAACTAGCTCAAAAATAACTAGTAAGACAGTTGAAAACTACATTTATTTAGGTTACATTTATTATATTTATCGATAAACCTTTTAAATTTACTTTTTCAAACTCTAAAAAAGCTTTAGTTTGAGGGAAATGATTGGAAGAGCTCTCACATTATTATGCATCAAAATCGGAGATCTTTCTTCACTCTTTTTCTTTTCCTCTTTTTTCCAACCCTTTTCAACTTTTCTCAATCCTTTTCACTTGAAAAAAGCCTCTCTTTACTTCAAAATAGCTCTCTTTACTTCACTAACTCTAATCTTAGCTATTTAAAATCAGCTATTTAGCTATTTTAAATGTTTTCGACAAGCTGAGCAGTATTTTGAATTCTTGATGGAAATCCTTATCTTTATGGTGTACTTTGTGCTTAAAATTAACTTGTAAACACACCTTTTCTAGCGCATTTGATTTGGGATCTATTCTGGCTTGATTCTGGCTTGATTCTGGCTTGATTCGGGATCGATTCGGGCTTGAATCGGGCTTGATTGGGACACGATTCGGGCTCGATTGGGACACGATTCGGGCTTGATTCTGGCTTGATTCTGGCTCGATTCGGGCTCCATTGGGACACGATTGGGACACGATTCAGGCTCCATTGGGACACGATTGGGGTTCGATTCGGGCTCCATTGGGACACGATTGGGGTTCGATTCGGGCTCCATTGGGACACGATTGGGGTTCGATTCGGGTTCGAATCGGGTTTGATTCGGGATCGATTCGGGCTTGAATCGGGCTTGATTCTAGCCTGATTGGGACACGATTCGGGCTCCATTGGGACACGATTCAGGGCTCCATTGGGACACGATTCGGGCTTGATTCTGGCTTGATTCTGGCTTGATTCAGGCTCGATTGAGGCACGATTCGGACTTGATTCGGGCTAGATTCGGGATCATTTTCTGCAGAAGAAACCAACTAGGAATTACAATAAAAATGAGAGATTCAGTGCGGTTCTAAGCACAAAGTAGAAAGATCAGTAGAAAGATGCGGTTCTAAGCGCAAAGTACACCGGAAACGGAAACAACGGAGACACCGGAAGCTTTGGCACTTTTTCTGTTGCCGCTTCTATTCCACTATGATTCATTGCTTGCCAATTGTTTCTTCATTGTTTCTACAATTCTTATCTCTTTTCAAAGCAATATTTGTGTATGCCCATTCTTGGGTGAAAGGTGGTGGCAATGGCGGCCATTGGCATCAAATTTCTCGATTGCACCACACTTCAAACGATCCATTTCACCGAACACCAGCTGCTCTATTTGAAAATTTTTATTTACAACTTTTATTTTTCTTTTTTTCTTTTTTTCTTTTATTCTTTTATTCTTTTATTCTTTTATTCTTTTATAGCATTTCTTTTTTCTTATCTGTTTTTTGGGCACTTTATTCCTTTGAAATGATATTTGAATTACAAAATTCCACTCTGCCTCGTGTAAAGTAGATTTAATTTACTTCCAGAGATCGAATGCTTTCAGAATTTCGACTCTAGAATCATTAGATCCAGTACTTTTGTAGAGGAAACGTCTGAATTTGAATTTTCGTCTGAATTTGAATCCTTAAACTTGCTTGTAGACCATTCTCTACGAATTTCAAGCTAACTTTTATCTTTCTTAACATAAACAGCTTTTTCTTATGAAGTATAATCGTTTTTATGCAGTATAATATTTCTTATAAAGTATAAAACCTTATTTATGGCTTTTAAATGCTAGATTTTCAGATCTATGGCCTTACAAGACGAGGAGTACATCGCTGAGTCGAGAGATCCAACACCGGAGCCTCAAGGGGATCTACCCCCAGAGCAGGTTTGTGAATCAATGATCTCTTTGATCTCTCCACATCTTTGACAAGATTTTTATCGTAATGCAAGCCATTTCAGCGAGCCAGCCAGCTTATTTTTCCAGTCGATGAGACAGGCTATTAACAAAACAAAAAAGCTTCACTTCTTTCTGTCACAAGCGTCGACTTTGACTCAATTTTGTAAACACAAGCTTTCTAGCGCACTACTTGCTTCCTTACTTGCTTCCTTATTTGCTTCCTTGTGAAAGCTGTGAGGAAACGGAAGAATCGTGTGCGCCAGAAAGAGTGCCTTTACCCTTTCACTTAAACGATAAAGCTGGCTAGAAAGACTGAAAACTGGAAAGAAACCGAAATCAGCTTTTGCACTCAATAATTTCCAGGTTTCCCCGTCACATCCTGTTCGTCACACTCCATCCCATTCCACTAATGGTTTCCCCTCGTCAGATCCACAAAAACACGATCGAGTACCGGACATGCAACTTGGAAGTGAGTGAAAATTTTGAAGACATTTTGTAGCCGAATCGTAGCCGATTTAGTAGCCGAATCGTAGCCGATTTAGTAGCCGATTTAGTAGCCGAATCGTAGCCGATTTAGTAGCCGAATCGTAGCCGATTTAGTAGCCGAATCGTAGCCGATTTTGTAGCCGAATCGTAGCCGATTTTGTAGCCGAATCATAGCCGATTTTGTAGCTGAATCGTAGCCGATTTAGTAGCCGAATCGTAGCCGATTTTGAATGAGTGGATATAGACGCGTTTAACCATCAAGTTTTTGACATCATTTGACTATTAGGCTGTTTTGAAATAGCCATTTCAAATGGCTGGTTGAAAATGTAAAGGGGGTTTATTTTTCAAATTTCTAGGAGCAAAATTCGTTCGACTACACGATAATGTGAACTATGTGGCGGCGGCATTGATCCTACGGGGTGAAGGAGTCGACACGGAGATCCTTCTCATACAAGAAGCGAAGAAAAGTTGCTATGAAAAGTGAGTAATGCATAGTAGACAAGGAAAAGCATACATTGGATGAGAATAAATGGACAAGTAGCACAAGAACTGGTTCTGGTGCAGGGTTATAGCGCTGCAGGCCCACAGAAAGTATTTAAGACCGCCAGAAGCAAGGCCTAGCTCTGTCCCAGCGTATTAGGATTTGTAATTTATGCTTAAATGTCTAAAAATACCCAGGCGCACGGAATTACTCTCTAAATTAAAAGTTGGATAGTAGATTTGACTAGTAGACTAGTAGATTTTGTAGCTTTTAAATTGTTATCATTGTTTAAATTGTTTTAAATTGTTATCCTTTTCACTTTCAGATGGTATCTACCCGCAGGTCGAGTCGAAGCCGGCGAAACGCTCATTGTGAGTTTGTCTCTACAGTATTGCTAGAGTATTTTGATAAAGCTTAAAGATCGCTACTAGATCTCAAATAAAGGGTGTTCCAACAAAAATCAGTTCAGCGCGAATTTCTAGTGGCTTCTAGTGACTTCTAGTGGCTTCTAGTGGCTTCTGGTGGATTTTATTATTTCAAGAGAGAATTCCTTTGAATTGACTTAAAGTAAAATGAAATTAAACCCAATTTGTTTAATTACTTTTTTAGTTATTATTTTTAATTTATTGGGTTGGCGAATTGAAAACTGCCGGCTATTGTCATATGTGACAGTTTGAGCACTTTCTTCAAAAGAAACCCGTTTTGGTGTCAATGGAAAAGTTGTAGAGAATCAAAAATGAAGCTTATATCCAAATTTTCAGAACGATTCAAAAACTGGTTTTCAAGAAATGCCAAATTTACGAATTTTCACAAATGAAATGACGGAAAAGGAGGGGGGGGCGAGCGGGTTACGGTATCTGTCTGTCTTTCTGTCTGCCTTACTGTACGGGCATTTTTCCAGCCTTATTTTGACCAATATTTCATTTTTCATTTTGGTTTTCAAGAAATGCCAAATTTACGAATTTTCACAAAACTTGCATTTTAAGGGAAACTACTAAGTGTATCTTTTTGGAAATTTGGCTATAAGCCCAATTTTTGATTCTCTACAACTTTTCTATTGACACCAAAATGGGTTTCTTTTGAAGAAAGTGCTCAAACTGGGACATTCCTCCATTTTTGAGGCTCACACTTGTCTCACACACAAACCAAAATCCTACTACGAAAGAGGAATCCGCAAATTGCCTATAAAATGGGCAGAAGCCGTTAATAATAATGGAAATTATTTGGAATGAATTGATGGTTTTATGTTGAATAAATTTGAGTTCAAAGTCCCGCAGTTTTCAATTCACCAACTTAATAGATAACAAACTATTATTTTTCACAGGAATCCGTGCACCGCGAAGTGATGGAAGAGGCCGGGTACTCTGTTGAGGTCAACGAGTTGCTCTCACTACAGGTATGTCATAGCTAAAAGATTTTTATTACCCATATAAGATAATAGACAAAGTACCGGTCAAAATTCTATTCCCCTCGACAAAAGTGGTGCTCTTTTTGAGGCGTTATAACTTTAGATGTAGAAATCGTATAGATAAGTGCTATATAGCATTTGAAAGCTCTCATTGAGCTCTACAAGATCTGCTATAACACTTTTGGGGAATACGGTAATTTTATCCAACTTTTTGGGACTTGAATCAAAGCCAAAATTTTGTGTGCTTTTCAAAGCAAGCTCCCTTTCTCGACATAACCTCTTCGTTCGAAACATGCTATAACTTGTCAGAAACAACTTTTCCTGGGCCATTTTTGGCGTTCTTTCCAAAAAACATGGTTTCCGAACGATTTAAAGCGCCTCTAATAGTTAAAAATTATCCTGAGAAGCACACAAAATTTTGGCTTTGATTCAAGTCCCAAAAAGTTGGATAAAATTACCGTATTCCCCAAAAGTGTTATAGCAGATCTTGTAGAGCTCAATGAGAGCTTTCAAATGCTATATAGCACTTATCTATACGATTTCTACATCTAAAGTTATAACGCCTCAAAAAGAGCACCACTTTTGTCGAGGGGAATAGAATTTTGACCGGTACTGTAGTCTGTATTATCTAATATCTGTATTATCTAATATGCAAATTCATAATACTAGCTAAAAATCCCACGGTTAACTTCAGCATTTCAACTTCAGCACTTTTTTTTCAGGTTCAAGGCAGCGGCTGGTATCGATTCTCTTACACAGCCACGGTGATTGGTGGGTAAATTGTTTAAAGTCAGCGATTGTACACATGTACGCATGTACGATGTACGCATGTACGATGTACGCATGTACGATGTACGCATGTACGATGTACGCATGTAGGATGTACGCATGTACGATGTACGATGTACGCATGCACGATGTACGCATGCACGATGTACGCATGCACGATGTACGCATGCACGATGTACGCATGCATGATGTACGATGTACGCATGCACGATGTACGCATGCACGTGTACGCATGCACCATGTACGCATGCGCGATGTACGATGTACACATGTACGATGTACGCATGTACGACGTACGCATGTACTTTGTACGCATGTACGATGTACGCAAAAAGCTTACACATCTAAAGCTTTTTTAGATCTACTTTTAGAATCTATGTAGTTTAAACATTAACAATAAACCTTTATTAGTTTCCTATTCAGGTGGCACTCTAAAAACCCATTCCGACAAGGAGTCGCTGCAAGCTCAATGGTTTAAAGTCAGCGATGTCACCTCAAAGAAGCCATCGATAAAGTTGAGGTAGCTTAAAAAATAGAAATTTTGCTATTGACCTACTGGATTTATTCTAATAAAAGCGCAATCTCTAATAGAAGATTCAAGTTTTTAAAATATCCGCTATCTTGTTGTGGCGTTATGCCATTTTCCGTCCACTGAATGTTTCTCCCTTTTCCGGCAGTTTTTCCAGGTGGAAGAAACTGTTCAAACGAGTCGGACTGTCATTTTGACTGGGAGTCTTGACTGGGAGTCTTGACTGGGAGTCTTGACTGGGAGTCTTGACTGGGAGTCTTGACTGGGAGTCTTGACTGGGAGTCTTGACTGGGAGTCTTGACTGGGAGTCTTGACTGGGAGTCTTGACTGGGAGTCTTGACTGGGAGTCTTGACTGGGAGTCTTGACTGGGAGTCTTGACTGGGAGTCTTGACTGGGAGTCTTGACTGGGAGTCTTGACTGGGAGTCTTGACTGGGAGTCTTGACTGGGAGTCTTGACTGGGAGTCTTGACTGGGAGTCTTGACTGGGAGTCTTGACTGGGAGTCTTGACTGGAGCTGTGAGTCTAGAAGTCTAGACTCTTTGGGAGTCTAGAAGCTCCACAAACGAAAAGCTTTGTGGAAAAGAAAAGAAAAGCTCTCAAAATTCATTTTGTAAAGAAATAGTGGACCTTTTTGATTAAAAAAATGTTTATTTAAAGGTTTTATACATGCAAAGAGTCTCTTTAAAGTTCTTTCTTTAAAGTAAAGCCATTTCTCTTCATTTCTCCAATAGAAGAGCAGTCTCCAATAGAGGAAATTTTCGGAAAAGGGTTGAAAATAGAAAAATAGAAATAGAAAATAGAAAAACATGCCTTTCTATTAGAATAAATACAATAATTTCCTAATTCAGAGGCCGGGATTTCCTGAAACTCGTCGACGAGGCGATGGTGTATCGAACGGCAAAACGTTTCGTGAATGTGCCGCCCGTTTTGCCAATCAATGAACCCCATGCCGGCCTTTTTATCGAGTTCATGATCTGCAAGTACAGTATGGACAAGTGGGTTTTATCAAGATCGAGATTTGAAGCCTTTGTTTGTTCTTTCTTTGTTGACCAATGACTGTCAAATTGTTGCAAGAGTCTCGCTTTCATCTCATCGTTTTCAAAAATCATAAAGCAATTTACATAAAGATGCTTTATCCAACAACTATCGTATTCTCTCTAATCGCCATCACCTATCTTGCCAGTGTGATTGAGCCCTCGACTTTCCGCTTAGACCTTCCGCCGACAGTTGCATATTTGGAGATTTAGCGGATTTGATCAAAAGATCTGTTCTCATCTCAAGAAACTCTCAATAAGTTGAAAGAATCTCAACTCTCCATAAGTAAACATCTAATAAGTAATAAAGTTCAACTCTAGATACAACTCTGGGTACTATTTTTCTAGCTCAAGCAAGTCCAGAAGCCAAGTATCGGAATCATGTAAAACTAAGCAAATATCTAAAGATATTCTTGAATATCGTGTTTTCTTTAATAGTAGTGCACCTTGAGCGTTGCCTAAATTGCTCGAAATCTCGAGAACCGCTTATCAGAACCTATCGATGTGGGGTCGGAAAATGCAGCTGACGATGAGATCTAGTGGAGGATTAGAGTGTTGAGCTTCTGGGAAAAGCTTGGAAACCGTAAAATAGTCATCAACTCGGCTCGCCGGGCGGCACTACTAATAGAGAGAATACGGTAAGCAGGATATAGCCTCGAAAACTGATTTATCTACACCAAAGAGATCTTATAGAGCAAGTGGAAGAGATTCAGCTATTAGGTTGATGCAAAAGTCTTTTTCATTTTTTTCGTACTTCTTTTGAAAAATAACAAAGTCATCAATTAACCTATGGTTTGCTCTAAATGAAAAGTGTTTATTGTTGAATTTCCCATCTTTTTAAGTCAATTTGGGTTCACTTTCAAGCAAATTCGAGAGTGAAAACGGGTTTTTCATAAAAATCTATAAAAACCTCTATAAAGAAATTGGCTGAATCAATTTCTCTGAAAATCTGAAAAAATATCTAACTTTTTGTGCTCTATCTTTTATTTATTAACATCAAGATTGGTTTCCTTAGCTAAAGCGTCTAAAATGCATCATCGAGCCGTCGCCTTTTTTGACTACCCGACTTCAGGCTCTCAAAAAAATCTAGACATAAGACATTTTAAACTCGTTTTAATGTCATTTTGCAGAAAAATAATTGGCCTTTCGAATGCAATAAACCGTTGTTCAATTGGTGCATTTGTTACTTTTTAACGGAAGTACGAAAAAAATGAAAAAGACTTTTGCATCAACCTAATACATAAAGCACAATATAAGCTAGAGTAATCTGTTTGTTTGATAGAAAAAAAGCACATACCATATTTTCTCTAGTAGTAGTGCACCTTGAGCGTTCCCTAAATTGCTCGAAATCTCGAGAACCGCTTATCAGAACCTATCGATGTGGGGTCGGAAAATGTAGCTGACGATGAGATCTAGTGGAGGATTTGAGTGTTGAGCTTCTGTAAAAACCTTGAAAGCCGTAAAATAGTCATCAACTCGGCTCGCCGGGCGGCACTACTGTTAAAGAGAATATGGTATTTGTTCAAAAGGTATTGCTATTGCTATTGCTATTGCTATTGCTATTGCTATTATATTTGCAAAAATTCTAGTAGTCGAGTGGATGTGCTGGTGCACAAATCGATTGGCAGCGAGCAAGAGATGGTTGCTCACGATCAACCGTTTCCCACATGTGAATTCGGATTTGAGTACTTTTTCGCGATGGTTATCTCAAAATGTTATCGAGTGAGTTTCATTAATTCATTGATTTTAAATTGATTTTAAATTTAATCATAAGTTTCCTTGACATCGTTAGAATCAGCGTTAGAAAAAGCGCGAAACATGTAGAAGTGATATTCTCGATTAGAGTGTTCCTCGTGATTAACTTTAACTTGATTAACACTTTCTAAAGCGTGCGCTTCAAAAAAAGCTCTCGCAGTTATATAAATTTCTTTAAATGCAAACTTAAACACTTACTATATATGTCGTAGCCGATTATGAATGAAATTTTTTTGGTAAACCTTTCTAGTAGAGCAACCCTTTAATGTATGAGGACAATATTATATCATCCTGCAGCGAATTAAATTCTGCGTCGATTGGTACTAAATTTGTGAGTTTAGTTTAAAAATTACCGGCGCTACAACGTTTCATTCAAAATCGGCGGGGCCCCCGTAGCCGATTATGAATTTCAGCCGATTATGAATGAGTGGGTCTAGGAGCGTCCAATCATCAAGTATTTGGTATCATTCAACGCAGAATCATTAATAATTATGTTAAACTTTTAAAATTAGCAAGATTTGATGAAAAGAAAAAAAATTAGAGCAAAAAAACTGTTTGTTCAAGAGAAAACTTTGAAGCCCCATAATTTGTGTTCTTTTTATCCAATCTTTCTAATTTTAAAAATTTAACATAATTATCAATGATTCTGCGTTGAATGATACCAAACACCTGATGCTTAGACGCGCCTAGACCCACTCATTCATTATCGGCTACGGGAGTGCCGCCAATTTTGATTCAATTATGAATGAGTGGGTCTAGGTGCGTCCAACCATCAAGTATTTGGTATCATTCAACGCAGAATCATTAATAAATATGTTAAATTTTTAAAATTAGAAAGATTGGATAAAAAGAAAAAAATTAGAACAAAAAAACTGTTTGTTCAAGAGGAAACTTTGAGGCCCCATAGTTTTTTTTCTTTTTATCCAATCTTTCTAATTTTAAAAATTTAACATAATTATTAACGATTCTGCGTTGAATGATGCCAAATACTTGATGGTTGGACGCACCTAGACCCACTCATTCATAATCGGCTACGACATATATAAAGCAGAAGAGACGTCTGTCCGTCCGTCTGTGCGCAGCCATTGGCAAAAAGGGGCGGGGCTTAGATTGCGTGGAAAACGAGGACCTCCTCAATAAAAAACGCGTTAAAAAAACGTTTTCCGTTGGTTTTATCATAAAATTCACCGGATTCATCAAAAAAAAACTCAAAGCTGTTGCGTTCTCTTGAGTTGTTCGGTAGTAAATCCCACAATCTCGTAGCCCTGATTGGGAAAGAATTCGACACAAAGTTATTTAAGGCAATCCGAATTTTCATGAGATCTCTCCTTGAATAGATCACTAGATTGAGTTTTCAAAAAAATTACAGAAAAAAAAAGAGGACTAGAAATGTTTGCATTTAACAATTTTGAAGCATTCAACTAAATCCGTGACCAGGCAGCGGTGCCTAATAGTTTTAAGCTCGAAAAGATTGAGCCTATTGTCACTACTGGGTACTGAGTCACTACTGGACAATGAAATATCATATTTGAAAAAAAGTCGTCACTTTCGCGCGTCTGTAACTCCCTTGTCTTTATCGTATTTCTAAATATATATTAATATTACCATTGTGTAGCCTTGAAAAAAGAGCTTTCAGAAAATGTATAACACTAATATTGGGTTGATGGAAAAGTCCTTTCCGATTTTTTGGGAGAGTACCTTAAATTTGTCGAATTTTGACGTTTTATAGCTCATCCTAAAGCTGAATTCAAGACGGATCGATTGGTAAAAGCCGTTTTGAGATATCTCTTTTCTAAAAGTTTTTACAGCTATTTTAGTAAAGGGCGGCAGAGCCAAAAAATGGCTGTTTTCACGTTTCGTTAGTTTTTCGTGCAGAAACCTAGGCTAAAAACATGTGTTTCGTGATCGGCGTCAAAAATAACTCAAAAATGACGCCCTTTACTAAAATAGCTGTAAAAACTTTTAGAAAAGAGATATCTCAAAACGGTTTTTACCAATCGATCGGTCTTGAATTCAGCTTTAGGATGAGCTATAAAACGTCAAAATTGGACAAATTTAAGGTACGCTCCCAAAAAATCGGAAAGGACTTTTCCATCAACCCAATAGTTTAAACTCAAAGGCAAGGGAGTTACAGACGCGCGAAAGTGACGATCGTTTTTCAAATATGATATTTCATTGTCCCAGTACTGTAGGTAAATCTTAGCTAAAATCTTATTTATCCTAAAATAATCGTGGTTTAAATCGCAGCTGTTTTTAGACTAGAAGTTAATCTAAGTTATTCAATTGAAAAAAAGAGTAAAAGAAAAAAAAAGCATAAAGTAAACAAAGTAGTAAGCAGCGCTGAGAAAAAGTTAAAGTGAAAAAACGTTAACGCGCTCCTTCACTGATTATTCAATTCGTAGTTAGGCGAGAATTTTCAGCACCTGCTTGACGAGGGTCCGAATGTTCTTTTCATTCCATCGCACGTCGTGCGGATACGCTGCGCTCCAACGCCCATGGAAAGCATTGCCCATGGATTGAAGGTAAATAGAGATTCCATCAATCATGATAAAGCTTTACGTAGTTAGGCGTTATACCTTACTCATTGTCAAGTTCGACTAGTCAAGTACGACTGTCAAGTACAGTCTGTCTAAAATCTATGAAAAACATTCATCTAACTCGCACAGGTACGACTCTTCTGTGAGCACAAGAAATCAGCGGGAAAAGCGCCAATCCGGAGTCCAAGCAGGTAAATATCTTAAAATCTAAAAATCTAATAAAATCTAAAGTCTCAGAATTTGCAATTAATCAAGTTTAAGATATTCTGGTTATTTAAATATCATAAAATATTTAGATATCACTGGTTATCCATTTACGATCCCGAGATTCGACGAGCTTTTCATATGGAAAAGGACCAATATAAGCCATCTTTGTACCTGTTATAAGAATTTCTCCTAAAAAAAAGTCGTGAACTTCAACTTTCACAAGATACAGTAAACTTATTCAAGTCACGAAAACAGAATTACTGTAAAAGAATCAAAATTCGCAGCTATTTCAAGCATCTATTGTCAATTTTTTTTTGACTTTTCCCCATTTAGGCTGTGTTTTCTTGATTTCTCAAAGAAACGCTTAAGAAAAACTATCGTACCCCAGGTACCATTTTAAAATTTGAACCAGCCAACCCAGAGTCAATTCGAAAGCCAAGTCCGAGTCTAAAATAAGGCCTGAATGTAGTCAATTTTGGCCTGGGATTACATTAACTTTGGCTTGAGATTATAGTAGTTTTAAACTAGAATAATTTTGATTTATGATTATGACTTTGGCTTGGATTACTGCAACTTTCCCAGGGCACCTTTTAGAAAACAATTCCCTCAAGAAGAACACCGCACAGTCTAGTAGCCCATTTACCCACATAATGCCTTGTTTCTCGGCTTTACCGGTGCTTTCCTCGATTTTTTTTCGTTTCCCAAAGACAATATGAAAAGTTTTCTCATTTCCTTGACTGAATATTCTTTATTTTCTTTACCCTGTGATTTATGCTGGTCACATATATGAACTCAAAAGTGCTATGTCAGAAAAGAGATTCACCATTCAAACATTTTGCGTCACCATTTCGATTGATTTTTAGGCTCAAATAACTCGTTATTGGCTGAATAAACAGTTTTAATTCAAAAACCAACTTTTCGGAAGTTTATTCGATGAGAACACACAAAGACAAGATCACATTACAAGTAAAGGACGGCAATAATTATCGTTTCATTTCCAAGGCGATTTTGTGTCGACCATTCAGTGAGGTTGGAGCTTCTTCAGGCAATCCTCGCACATGTCCACCAATCCATCGATTTCTGCGAGCGATTCGGCAACCTAAACCAGGGAAATTGATTGATAACAAAGTAGAATTCATTACCCGACTACGCGAATCACTCTTCTCGCGAGCCGTGTGAAGCGATCGCTCATAGTTGGCAGCAAATGGATCGGGCAATTGACTGAGATCGTCCAATGATTGACGAGAGTAGTCACGGATGCGGATCTAAAGCACAAAAATATCATCAAAGTGACCATTTAGAACCTCATAAGCCGAATTCGAACTGCCGAACATGTCACTGGGCAAACGCTTGAGGTCGTACATTGAGTCGGTAGAAGCGGCGTATTTGTTCAAGCACTAAAATGTTGCATTAAGAATTTATTTAAAGGAAAAATTTTGAAAAAGCTTCCAACCTGATTACTTCCCGTACGTTTGATCCCAGGATAAGCCGAACGGGGAACATCAAAGCGGTCACTCCTCTCATTTCGATCTTGACGATAAGCACCATACGAGTTCTGTTGATTCTAAAATGACAATATTGTAAGAGCTAAAAATAACTTTTGTAACCTTATTGAATGGATCGGGAATAGCACGAAGATCAGCTTGACTTTGGAGAGTGATAAGATGTTTGTTGACCATGGGTTCCATGTAAGATTCGGCACGAGGGAAACGAGCCTAAAATGATATTAGAGTAAACAGCAAAACAAAATTATGCCGGGAAAGGATTTGGAAGCATTCGAATATCCCATTGAGACGATTCACCAAGAGAGCCGATTCGATTCTAAACAAAAATAGAGTTGATTAGAAATAGAAGAAATTTAATAGTATTAAGTCAACAAACTTAAAATGATACCTGTGATTGAGAAGCATCCGAATGGCAACTTCTTGCAGGGCTGTTGAAATACGATGACACTTTGGAGCTTCGAGGCGTAGATGAAGGACAACCACATTGTTGTTTGTCGCGTGATGACGATCGATATGGAGGGAACAATGCAGAATCGGGCAATCGGTTGAGATCCTCTTGACGTTTGGCCGTGAGTAGTCGCTTGTTGACCGTTTGAAACGATTGCGGATTCGAGATGACCGATGTTGAAGCATGTTGACTTTTCTTTGGCGATCGAGGGATGATTTTTTTGCAGAATTGCTCGGGCAGGGCATCAATCTCGCACGCCGATTCAGCTCCCAATCCGCCCAAGTAACACTAAAATTAAAAAATTAACGCGATAAACGACCGGATAACATTTCAAAAACGAAGCTCACCTGAGTCCTCAAAGAAGCAGTGCGAGGTTCCTAAACAAAATATTTAGTTTTCATAAAAAACATTTAAACAAACCTGTTGTTGTTGGAAAGGGTCATTCAATTGTTGCAGATCGCGAAGACTTTCGTGTGAGATGAGTCTCTTGTTGATAGTAGAGCGATCAGCTTGGCTCATCGATGGAATGGGCGGTGAATCGGCAAATCGATCACGCAGAGATCCACCCAACGATTGTTTGAGCTGAATAGAAAAATACAGTAGACAACATATAAAAGAAAATAACTGCAAATTCGTCGGGCAACATTTGGATGTCGTAGGCGGAAGACGTTGAAAGGCCACCACCGACACGATGCTAAAAGAGACAATCCTTTGAAGTCACTAAAACATCATTAACCAATCAGGATCTTTAAATACTAATCAGAATCTATAACTTTCAAAGTATTACCTGAGTAGTGTCACGAAGAAGCGTTTCGTATGGATTCGTTCCATTCTCCGAGCTTGTATTTGATGTCGTCGATTGAGCGCGCTGCCGAGGCGGCACTTGAGCAGAGGATCGAGGTAGGAGACCTAAAAACAGAGGAGATTAAAAGTGTTCACCGTAAATATTCTAATAGAAGAGCCTTCTATAGGCGCGTCGCATAGTCCAAGTTGACTCTCAAACAAACGCTCATATCTCGACACCAGTACGTTTGTGTCTGCCCGCTTAGTTAGCAAATTAAAGTAGAGAAGATGGATGATTTTTTGAGATATAACACATATTATTAGCATTAAGCAGCGCTTAGAAAAAATGATGAAAAATCGACTTTTTTCAATCATTTCAACTTTGTCACTTTTCAATCATTTTGTTCTAGGTGCTGATTAATGTTACAAATATGTATTATATCTTAAAAGATCACCCATCTTCTCTACTTTAATTTGATATCTAAGCATGCAGAAACAAACGTACTGGTGCTGAGATATGAGCGGTTTTTTGAGTGCAAACTTAGACCACGCCACGCTCATATAGGGAGCTCTTCTATTCTTCTATAGAGTATTTACGGCAATAGTTTTCTGCATAAAATAACAATGCTCACGAAATTCAATAAAAAAAATACCTTCAGTGCTTCGTGGAAGAGAGAAAAGTGCTCTTTGACGATTGTAGACCCGTGCATACGGATTCGCCTCCGAAAGTGAATTCTAAAGAAAAAAAAAACAGATCTTATTGTTAAAGTTTGGTTTTGCCAAGAATTTAAAAACTGGAGAAACAAAAAACTATGCTTTAAAGATAAAATAAGAACAACATTGCAAGTATCAATCCTTAAATCAATCCTTGGTGGTTTAGAGGGGACGCTTTTGGCTTGGCTTTGTCGAATCTAGTATTTTGAGCGGTTCGTGTCAATACTTTTCTTCTATTGCATATGCTGAAGCGATTGGTGCTAATTTTAGAGTATTTCCAACATATTTCAAGTTAGTATTGTAGCTTTCCAAGTGTAATCAGCTTTGAGATAACGTTGTTAAAGTACAGCAAGCTAGGACACAGGGTAAATTATCGAATCGGTTTATCCAAAACGTGCTTAAATTAGCACCAATCGCTTCAGCATATATAATTACCGCAAAATAGAAGAAAAGTATCGATACGAACCGCTCAAAACACTAGATTCGATTTAGCAAGCCAAAAGTGGCCCCTCTAAACCATCAAAGTACCGGTTTCTCAATCTACTAAACTGGGTAAAATGCAAAAACTCCAAAAAACTTACAAATCCCATTGTATGTAGAGAGAAAGTGGCCGCACTTGAGAAGAATAAATCGATGGATGAAAAATGATCATTCGCCCTTTGAAACTTTCGTTTATTTGAGGCTTGAATGCAAATTTTCGGTTTTTCATCACTTTTGAGACATCTATGCAAATTTGGGCAAAGACTATTGTTGTTGTTCTTCTTGGGGTTTTTTAGGACTCTATCAAAAGAGAGCCGTTCAAAAGGGCGCCGTAAACAAAATCGCGCTGCTGCTCAAAAGAGCGCCAATGCAAAAATGCTCAAAAGAGCGCGACTAGGTTGTTGCGCCCCAATTTTTTTCGTTTTCTTGATGTTTTTGCTGGTTTTTATGTTTATTTACATTTTTTTTTGTTTTTAGGCAAAAGAACGACGGGGAATTCGAATTCGACGTTAGTTTTGGCAGAAAACGACCGGCAAGTCAAGGTAAGGCGTATTTTATCAAAAGATTCTTTACCAGAATAAAAAATCAAAAGATCAAAGGATTTTTCGTTGTTTGTTCTCATTTATTGTCTAAGTTTTTAATTTTAAGTAAAAAGACTAATCTACAATTGCCTCACATTTGTTCTTCTCATCGGACAAGGAAGTTGGCTATCAGAAATGGCACCTTAGGAAGATCGCATATTGAACATCTTAAATCTCTATCATTTTACATCGATTTTAAATGTTGTTATCATTTTTGTTATTCTATTAAATTGTTAAAAGAATTCATTATAAATATTTGAAATCAACAGGAGTTTTAAAGAAAAAACAAGAAAGAAAGGTTAAAACGCAGTTCGTTGTTGACTTTAATAAGACTTAAGGCTTAGCGATCTTTTGAGCGTTTTTGCATTGGCTCTCTTTTGATCACGGCGCTCTTTTGATTAATTCTAGTCTCATCGGTAAAAATGACTCGGGCCCAGTCATCGGAAGTCCAACACTCGTAGTTCTTTGCAAAATCATATCTCAGCTTCCGAGTTTTCGCAATGGTCAAGGGTCGTTTTGCTGCTCTTCTTGCATGCAATCCTGCTCGAATCAAGCGACGGTTGATGCTCCATCGAGAAATATTTTTGTTAGACGTGGCCTTCAACTTCATGATTCCATAGCTCGAAGTCAGATTCGGGTCGTCGTTTTATGGTCAATGATAAGTGCTCGATCTTCAGTTTTTGTTGTAATCGGTGGACGACCACTTTTCGAAGGTCTGTGAAGACTTTGGCCTTTTTCCGATTTTGCTGCTAGCCGATTCACCGTCCTTTTATTGCATTTGAAGAACATCGCGATAGACGGTGATGATCCATATTTCTTTGCTTGCACGATCTTTTGCTTATCAGGAGTTGATAAATATTTGCGATTCGACATCTAAAAATAAAAATATAGTACAAAAAAATTCATGAGAACAAACAAAGGCAAAGGGAAAATACAAATTTTCTTAGTGAGACAAGACTTTTGCACCACCTTTTTTTCTCAAGTTTTACGAAAAAAAAGGTTTTAAAAAAACAACAAAATATTGGAGTATGGGCATTTACATAGTGAAAGATGAAGGGATAAGCTACTAAAAAACCCGTTACTTAAAAAGTTGTTTTCGAAAAATTTTAGGATTTTGACAAAATGTTTCAGAAAAGTAAGTGGGACAGATCAATTGATTTGAACATGATCAATTGATCATGGTCAAAATTAATTGATCATAGTTAATAGGAGTAGATAATCTCACTCCTCAACACATAAATTCAGTTTGTTCTCGGTTGTTCAAATTGCTGCTCAGCTTCCGGCGGCGGGTGACGAATTTTATGACAAAAAATTTTGAGGGAGGAAAAGTGTTATCACTTCTTCCTTCCGAAAGGCCTTCTTTTCTTTTTCTTTCTCTTCTTGATTACATGATTTCATTCTAAATTCCCTCAAAAGTTTCGAAAGTTTCGAAAGAAACCAAATTATCTTTATTTTAAAATTTATTAAACAAATCATCCAATTTTTTACTTTTTCTTTTCGAAAATCGGGAGTGGGACAAATGCGACCTTTTTTTGCGCACCCGGACATTTGCGCACCTTTTTTTCCGCACCTTAGCCATTGCCCATTAGCGACCTTTTTTCGCGTTTTAAACAAGCTCTAAAAAGCTAATATTAACCAATTTCTATTCCAAGCGTTGTTTTTCTAGGTAATTTGAGGGTGTCGAATTCAAATTTTGATATATCAGAGCTTGTGGAACCAATTTGAAAGACAAAACGGCTAGATCAAATTACAGAAAATTGTCGATTTTTCTCTTTGTATAACTCCGTCCGCTTGTCTCCACAAGCTCTGATATGTCAAAATTTTGATTCTACACCCTCAAATTACCTAGAAAAACAACATTTGGAATAGAAATTGGTTAATATTAGCTTTTTAGAGCTTTTTAAGACGCGAAAAAAGATTTTGACCATGATCAATTGATCATGGTCAAAATTAATTGATCATAGTTAATAGGAGTAGATAATCTCACTCCTCAACACATAAATTCAGTTTGTTCTCGGTTGTTCAAATTGCTGCTCAGCTTCCGGCGGCGGGTGACGAATTTTATGACAAAAAATTTTGAGGGAGGAAAAGTGTTATCACTTCTTCCTTCCGAAAGGCCTTCTTCTCTTTTTCTTTCTCTTCTTGATCACATGATTTCATTCTAAATTCCCTCAAAAGTTTCGAAAGAAACCAAATTATCTTTATTTTAAAATTTATTAAACAAATCATCCAATTTTTTACTTGGATACAAAGAGAAAAATCGACAATTTTCTGTAATTTGATCTAGTCGTTTTGTCTTTCAAATTGGTTCCACACGCTCTGTTATGTCAAAATTTGAATTCGACACCCTCAAATTACCTAGAAAAACAACATTTGGAATAGAAATTGGTTAATATTAGCTTTTTAGAGCTTTTTAAGACGCGAAAAAAGGTGCGCTAATGGGCAAGGTGCGGAAAAAAAGGTGCGCAAATGTCCGGGTGCGCAAAAAAAAGGTCGCATTTGTCCCACTCCCCGAACAGAATGGACAGAACTGTATTGTCTTTTAGAAATGATTTGGTGTTGGCGTCCGAACAGAGTCGTTGAGAAGGAGCCGTTAGTTACCGACTACAGCTGTTGTTTTTGTTGGGGCTGCGGTACTGCAAAAGTGAGTTAAATAGTTGAAATTATAAATGCTAGTTATTTTTAAATTGCGATTTTTGCTATGGAATATGAAAACGTCATAGACTAAACATATAACCAGTAACATAAACTTATAAATTACGGCTTAAAGAACTAAAAAATGACGAAGTAAAAAAAAAGAAGTAAAAATTAGTAAAGTAATGAAGATAGTTAGGACTTCGGCTTCATTAAAACTGAAGCTCTTTAGCTTCAAGTTCTTTTAGCTTCAAGCTTTTAACCAAGTCCTGCTTTGACTTGAATACTCATCACTGAGCCCTAGGGTTGGACACATTTAAACCCTTGGCTAGCTTTTTTTCGACACAAAATTGGCTAGCTTTTTTGAATCATTTAAATTTTCAGGGTGGCTTCAAATTCATCACCATTCTCAATGCCAGCGTTTTCTTGTTCGTTGCATTGTTTACTCTTCTGGGGATTGTTGTCAGTGGACCGCAAGGGTTTTTGTCGGTAGAGGTAAAAATTGATAGTTATCAAAAATTTTATCTAGTTTGACTACCATAAATACTGTAATTGAACGGCATGCCGTTAACAATTCAACTATCGCAATCAATAGAAACATCAGAAACAATGAACTCATCATTTTCTTGATCATTCCTTCGTCGGTGTTCTTGATGGTAACAAGGGGTAACAAAAAAATTAACAATTCAACTATCGGAATCAATAGAAACATCAGAAACAATGAATTCATCATTTTCTTGATCATTCCTTCATCGGTGTTCTTGATGGTAACAAGTAGTAACAAAAAATTAACAATTCAACTATCGCAATCAATAGAAACATCAGTGCCCGTATCCATGAACGTTCCAAACGCTTTGAAATCCAAATGCGAAAAATTCCAAACCATTTTATTAAGCGATGAGTTAGTTTTTTGAAATTGTTGTGCAGTAGATGTGCTCAACTATTTCAAAACTTTCTTTTTTTCTATTTCTCATCACTTAAATGTAAAATGGTTTGGAATTTTTCGCATTTAGAACACCAAACCGTTTGGAACATTCATGGATACGGACACAGAATCAATGAATTCATCATTTTCTTCTTGATCATCCCTTCGTCGGTGTTCTTGAAATCCCGTCGATGCGAGCGGCCCCAAAAGGTCTTCGCTTTCCTTCTCCAGCATCTATAACATCCGAGCATCTTTCAGCATCTATAACAAACAGAAAATAAGATAATTAAATCAATAAAGCAAACCTGTAAACTGGAAGAAACCAATGCAGACGACTTGAAATAGTGAATCAAGTGGTCGTCGTCTCGTTTACTGCAATTCTGCTCCCAAATCTCTTGAAAGAATTTCGGCCTAAATTCAACTTTACAGACTTCGACTTTACAGAGATCGAGAATCCGAACCCATCCTGGTTTCCCCCATGTCAGAATGTACAAAAAATGTTTTTAGTAATCTAAAAATAAACACTGAACTAAATACTCAGACCAAATAACAAAAGTGAACGAAAAAAGTGAAAATCATAACTTAAACATCAGTATTATCAAAGTAATCATTATCCGTTTCGATTTCTCCTCTCTACCAGCTCTACGGAACTCACAACTTCTTCGTTTTCCTCTTCTTCTGGAGCAACTTGCATCACTGATCCGGTCTGGTCTTGGCATTGATTGATCTGGTCGTAAAGGGGCGCTGCGATTTTGAAGAATTCCAAAGATCGATCCTTGCCGCTAGTGTCACAAGCTTTGAAGAACAGTAAATAAAAAGAAAATCATAAAAAGTTAAAAGAAATGCAATACAATGTAAAAATAAAAGTAAAGGTCAATTTAGTCAAATTTCGAAGCATCTCTTCGGATAATTGATTTCCTCATGTTCACGACGAGTCCGAAATTTTTCCATCCCATCAAACTCCATCCCATCCCATTGAGATCCATATCTAAAAAATAAAATTAGTACTTATAATAATAATGTAAAAAGCAGAAAAAGATAAAAACAAGGGGGTGGGACAAATGCGACCTTTTTTTTGCGCAACTGGACATTTGCGCACCTTTTTTTTGCTGGAAAAGGCCTTAGGCAAGGCCGTAGAGCTTCGAAAATAAGGGAATATGGAATAAAAATTCCATATAAGGGAATCGTATGCGTGGATTCCGAATTTCGACAAATCAGACCTCGCTGACACGTCAAATTTGGGCTAAAAGGCAAAACCTGCGGAAAAGCGTTAAGTTGCGTAGTTTTTGCCTTTTAGCCCAAATTTGACGTGTCAGCGAGGTCTGATTTGTCGAAATTCGGAATCTACGCATACGATTCCCTTCTATGAAAACATTTTTGAAGCTCTACGACCTTTCCTAAGGCCTTTTCCAGCAAAAAAAAAAGGTGCTAAAATGTCCAGGTGCGCAAAAAAAAGGTCGCATTTGTCCCACCCCCGTCAAAAGCAGAAAAAGATAAAAACAACAAAATTTACAACAAAACAACAAAATTTACGCTAAAAAGACGTTAAACACAAGTGATTTTCAAGAAAAAGTAAAAATTTTTAGATTTAAAATGTAATTTGTACACTTGTGTACACTGCCGTTCTATTCGAGGAGATCGTTCTATTTTCTCCCTCCCCCCTCTACCCTGCCGTTCTATTACAGTATTTACAATAATTATATGAGCTATCCAATTTGGTATCCCTAATTTTAGTTCGTCAGTTTGATCGTTTTTGCCTGTTTCTTGTTTCTCTGGTTGTTCCCATCGATTCAAGCGCTGAGAACCGAGAAACCCGTTTATGCACAAGTGGTCTTGATCCTGAGTGTAAGGCTAGTAAAATATATGGTGTGTCCGATTTAGATTTCCGTCCGAACGCTGAAGAACATATATTAACCCATTCGAAACTTCTGCAGCGAATAATCGCTGCAGCAAAAACTCAGGAACGGACCGCTGCAGCGATTATTCGCTGCAGCGCTAATTGAGCTATTTTCATTCAATTAATTGCTTTGTTTTTTTTGCTGTTTTTCAGCATTACATGTATATTCCAATTGTAGCAAATCTACAAATTACGTGGGCAAAAAGATGTTTCATATTTACCCGGAATCAATGCAGTCTCTGGTTTTGCATTGAAACGTTCCATAATAGCTCTAATCTTATAAAGCCGATCTCCTGCAGGATCCAGTTCATTATCACAAAAACGCAGGTTTCGAAGAATAGATTCAAATTTTGCTCTTGACATAATGTGGGACATGTGGGAAAATCCTCCTAATCCAGGCCTGCTACTCCAGTAGTCACGAATCCTCGGTAATTTGACGATTCCCATTTGAAGCCAGGAAGAGCTTGAAAGATTTTGCATCGAAATCCTGCCAGTTTGTTTTCCTTTTTCCATGTTTATTAGATTCGCCTACTAAAATATTGTCGTCGATAAAATAAGAACAATAATCGATAGGATCTTGAAAAGTACTGAAGTCAAATCCAAATCGTTCTTCATCAAAAATAAATGGTGTAGGAGACTCTCTTACATCTTTCCAACCATAAATAAACTGCTTCGGAGTCAAAAATGTCAAAAAAGGGCTTGGTCCGTAGACGAAAAAAAAGAAAAAACGCTGCGGTTTCGAATGGGTTAAGCACGTTTATTATTGTTAGATCTGTATCGGACGTCCGATATAGACTGTAATCAATAAAAGACCTTTGAAAAATGCAGAAAACTACAGAAAACGCTTAAGAACATATATTCAGCATGTTTATATTATTGTTCAATCTATATAAGATTTAGATTGAATCTAAATCGGACGGTCGATATAGACTGTAATCTAAATCGGACGTCCGCGATAAGTTCAATCTAAATCGGCCGGAAATCTAAATCGGACACAACATATATAAATATTAATAAACCAAAAGCATATTATGTTTTTTGTTTCAGTTGATCGCCATCAGTCTGTCGCTAGTCCTTTTTGTGTTAAATATCGTGGCTGCATTGATATACCTCAACCATGTCTTGAATGAGGAAACAGCAACCATTTATTTTTCACGTGATTTTTCACGTGAGTCTCTTATTTACAACTCTTCCATTTCAAGTTATTTCAGAGCTTTGGATCAAACTAGCTATTAGCGGTCCGGGGAATATTTGGTTTCTGTTTCTTGTTTACTCATTTTATGCATATCTCAGGTTTGATCTGCTTGCAAAATTGGTTTGGTTAATTGGTTAATGAAAGCGTTGACTTGAGAATCATAAGAGCCATAAATTTAAAACTTTAGAAAAGCTTTTAAGTTAGTAACTGTCAGTAAATTTAAATGTCAGTAACTTTAAGTAAGTAAGTAACTTCAAACTTTAGTAGTTAACTTTTAAGTAAGTAATTAAGGTTCTTTTCCAATATCGGGGGAGCGGAAGGATTATCGGGGGAGCGGAAGGATTATCGGGGGAGCGAAAGGAAAATCGGGGGAGCAAATTTTGGCAGCGCTACATATGTCCTATACTATACAAACTACCGCCATAAAATCCGCGAATTACCCGTGATTCTCACAACCTTTATATTAGATTTATATTAGCGAAATAGATCTTTTCCCTTTGAGCGGACTTTCATCGATTCGCCACAATTGCAAATCCACGACTGGATGACTCCTTTGGTGACGAAATAATCGATTGCCGTCGATTCCTTGAACGCACAAATATCGGAGAAGGCGCATCGTCGTTAAAGTTTGAAAAAAAACGTTGCGTTAAAATACAGTCCCGGAAATGCATTTTTCGAGGGGGCAAAATTTGCTCCCCTGATTTTCCTTTCGCTCCCCTGATAATCGGACCGCTCCCCCGATATTGGAAAAGTACCGTAATTAACTTATAAGTAAGTAATTAACTTATAAGTAAGTAATTAACTTATAAGTAAGTAGTTAACTTATAAGTAAGTAATTAACTTTTAAGTAACTTCAAAGTAAAAGGTTTTTTTATTCATTAAAACCTAGGCTTCTAATTTTAATTTAATCAGCTCTAACTTAGAAATTATAATGTTTTTTTAAGAGATCGCCAATTGTGGAAAGAGGGACGGGACCAACCGATGAAAAAAAGTCAATTAGAAGAAAGCGCACCGATTTGCGAGGTTTAAGAGAACACGAACGGAGATTCACCTAATCAATTTTGTGTACCGTTTTTCTAATGAATAGATCTTGAACTTTTTTTTGCTTAGGGAATAAAGATGTTCTTTTGAACGTTTCTCAACTAAAACTTATAAGAAATGCATAACAAAAACAGTAATTTGTAACTTTTAACAAATGGACATGTGGCTCGAGTCGAGTCGAAACCGGCAAATCCGACTCGAACTGATTCGACCGATTCGAAGATTCGAATGGGCTGGCCAAAAATTTTTGCTGGCCCCGTGCTGGCCCTTCCCACGCGACCCAGCAAAAATGGCCACGGTTTCCCCTTATGTTTTTAGTGTATTTTGCAAAATTTCTTTAAAGATGTTATAACTTTTTGTAGAGTTGAGAAAATTTGATGATTTTTGCATCAAAATGTTCGTAAGAGTCTCTAGAATAAAAGTTATCCCTTCGTTTTTGGTTCTAGACCCTCGTTGTCGAGTTACGAGCCCCAAACTGCAGGATACCACAAAATTTCCCATACAAAATGACCAAAAAACCGCTAAAACTAAATTTAAAAAATTTCTGTTAGAGGGATTTGAAAAATTCCTCCAGATTGGGAATCAGCACAATTTTCCGCATCTAAAAAAGGTACTCCCAGAAAAATCCGATAGAAAACGCATTTTCGCGCCGATGTCACCGGGTCACTCGGGAAAAAAGCCGGGTAGCGGATCAGCGGGTTTGACCCGACCCGACCCGATCATCAATTGATCAATTGTTCGAAATTAAACTAAGCCAAAAGTATTGCTTCTTGAGCGTCTCCCATCATCATCTCCCGTTTTTGCATTGGCTCTCTTTTGATCACGGCGCTCTTTTGATTAATTCTAGTCTCATCGGTAAAAATGACTCGGGCCCAGTCATCGGAAGTCCAACACTCGTAGTTCTTTGCAAAATCATATCTCAGCTTCCGAGTTTTCGCAATGGTCAAGGGTCGTTTTGCTGCTCTTCTTGCATGCAATCCTGCTCGAATCAAGCGACGGTTGATGCTCCATCGAGAAATATTTTTGTTAGACGTGGCCTTCAACTTCATGATTCCATAGCTCGAAGTCAGATTCGGGTCGTCGTTTTATGGTCAATGATAAGTGCTCGATCTTCAGTTTTTGTTGTAATCGGTGGACGACCACTTTTCGAAGGTCTGTGAAGACTTTGGCCTTTTTCCGATTTTGCTGCTAGCCGATTCACCGTCCTTTTATTGCATTTGAAGAACATCGCGATAGACGGTGATGATCCATATTTCTTTGCTTGCACGATCTTTTGCTTATCAGGAGTTGATAAATATTTGCGATTCGACATCTAAAAATAAAAATATAGTACAAAAAAATTCATGAGAACAAACAAAGGCAAAGGGAAAATACAAATTTTCTTAGTGAGACAAGACTTTTGCACCACCTTTTTTTCTCAAGTTTTACGAAAAAAAAGGTTTTAAAAAAACAACAAAATATTGGAGTATGGGCATTTACATAGTGAAAGATGAAGGGATAAGCTACTAAAAAACCCGTTACTTAAAAAGTTGTTTTCGAAAAATTTTAGGATTTTGACAAAATGTTTCAGAAAAGTAAGTGGGACAGATCAATTGATTTGAACATGATCAATTGATCATGGTCAAAATTAATTGATCATAGTTAATAGGAGTAGATAATCTCACTCCTCAACACATAAATTCAGTTTGTTCTCGGTTGTTCAAATTGCTGCTCAGCTTCCGGCGGCGGGTGACGAATTTTATGACAAAAATTTTGAGGGGAGGAAAAGTGTTATCACTTCTTCCTTCCGAAAGGCCTTCTTTTCTTTTTCTTTCTCTTCTTGATCACATGATTTCATTCTAAATTCCCTCAAAAGTTTCGAAAGTTTCGAAAGAAACCAAATTATCTTTATTTTAAAATTTATTAAACAAATCATCCAATTTTTTACTTTTTCTTTTCGAAATTCGGGAGTGGGACAAATGCGACCTTATTTTGCGCACCCGGACATTTGCGCACCTTTTTTTCCGCACCTTGCCCATTAGCGCACCTTTTTCGCGTTTTAAAAAAAGCTCTAAAAAGCGAATATTAACCAATTTCTATTCCAAATGTTGTTTTTCTAGGTAATTTTAGGGCGTAGAATCGAAATTTTGATATATCAGAGCTTGTGGAACCAATTTGAAAGACAAAACGGCTAGATCAAATTACAGAAAATTGTCGATTTTTCTCTTTGTATAACTCCGTCCGCTTGTCTCCACAAGCTCTGATATGTCAAAATTTTGATTCTACACCCTCAAATTACCTAGAAAAACAACATTTGGAATAGAAATTGGTTAATATTCGCTTTTTAGAGCTTTTTTAAAACGCGAAAAAAGGTGCGCTAATGGGCAAGGTGCGGAAAAAAAGGTCGCATTTGTCCCACTCCCCGAACAGAATGGACAGAACTGTATTGTCTTTTAGAAATGATTTGGTGTTGGCGTCCGAACAGAGTCGTTGAGAAGGAGCCGTTAGTTACCGACTACAGCTGTTGTTGTTGTTCGGGCATCGGTACTGCAAAAGTTAGTTCAATAGTTGAAATTATAAATGCTAGTTATTTTTAAATTGCTATTTTTGCTATGGAATATGAAAACGTCATAGACTAAACCTATAACCAGTAACATAAACTTATAAAGAACGGCTTAAAGAACTAAAAAATAGCAAAGTAATGAAGGTCTTAAGGGCTTCGGCTTCATTAAAACATAAACTGAAGTTCTTTTAGCTTCAAGATTTTAACCAAGTCCTGCTTTGACTTGAATACCCTTCTCTTGCCTGGGCTCTAGGGTTGGACACATTTAAACCCTCAAAATTGCCTAGCTTTTTTTGAATCATTTAAAACTTCAGTGTGGCTTCACCTTCATCACCATTCTCAATGCCAGCATTTTCTTGTTCGTTGCATTGTTTACTCTTCCGGTGATTGTTGCCAGTGGACCGCAAGTCGTTGTGGGTTTTTGTCGGTAGAGATAAAAATTGATAGTTATCAAAAATCTTATCTAATTTGATTACCGTAAATACTGTAATTGAACGGCATGCCATTAACAATTCAATCAATAGAAACTCAGAAAAACCCCACGCCCCCGCGGGGAAAAAAAATTCAACTATCGGAATCAATAGAAACATCAGAAACAATGAATTCATCATTTTCTTGATCATTCCTTCATCGGTGTTCTTGATGGTAACAAGTAGTAACAAAAAATTAACAATTCAACTATCGCAATCAATAGAAACATCAGTGCCCGTATCCATGAACGTTCCAAACGGTTTGAATTCCAAATGCGAAAAATTCCAAACCATTTTGCTAAGCGATGAGTTAGTTTTCTTGAATTTATTTTTTGAAATTGTTGTGCAGTAGCTGTGCTTAACTATTTCAAAATTTTCTTTTTCTATTTCTCATCACTTAGTAAAATGGTTTGGAATTTTTCGCATTTAGAACACTAAACCGTTTGGAACGTTCATGGATACGGGCACAGAATCAATGAATTCATCATTTTCTCCTTGATCATCCCTCCGTCGGTGTTCTTGAAATCCCGTCGATGCGAGCGGCCCCAAAAGGTCTTCGCTTTCCATCTCCATCCGAGCATCTTTCAGCATCTATAACAAACAGAAAATAAGATAATTAAATCAATAAAGCAAACCTGTAAACTGGAAGGAATCAATGCAGACGACTTGAAACAATGAATCAGGTCGTTGTCGTCTCCGTTTGCTGCAATTCTGCTCCCCAATCTCTTGAAAGAATTTCGGGCTAAATGCAACTTTACGGACTGATCGAGAATCCAAACCAACCCCGGTTTTTATGTTTTCCCCCATGCCAGAATGTACAAAAAATATTTTAGTTTTAGTAATTTAAAAATAAACACTGAAGTATAAACTCAGACCAAATAACAAAAATGAACGAGAAAAAGTGAAAATCATAAATTAAACATCAGTATTATCAAAGCAATCATTATCCGTTTCGATTACTTATAATAATAATGTAAAAAGCAGAAAAAGATAAAAACAAGGGGGTGGGACAAATGCGACCTTTTTTTTGCGCAACTGGACATTTGCGCACCTTTTTTTTGCTGGAAAAGGCCTTAGGCAAGGCCGTAGAGCTTCGAAAATAAGGGAATATGGAATAAAAATTCCATATAAGGGAATCGTATGCGTGGATTCCGAATTTCGACAAATCAGACCTCGCTGACACGTCAAATTTGGGCTAAAAGGCAAAAACTGCGGAAAAGCGTTAAGTTGCGTAGTTTTTGCCTTTTAGCCCAAATTTGACGTGTCAGCGAGGTCTGATTTGTCGAAATTCGGAATCCACGCATACGATTCCCTTCTATGAAAACATTTTTGAAGCTCTACGACCTTTCCTAAGGCCTTTTCCAGCAAAAAAAAAGGTGCTAAAATGTCCAGGTGCGCAAAAAAAGGTCGCATTTGTCCCACCCCGTCAAAAAGCAAAAAAAGATAAAAACAACAAAATTTACGCTAAAAAGACGTTAAACACAAGTGATTTTCAAGAAAAAGTAAAAATTTTTAGATTTAAAACGTAATTTGTACACTTGTGTACACTGCCGTTCTATTCGAGGAGATCGTTCTATTTTCTCCCTCCCCCCTCTACCCTGCCGTTCTATTACAGTATTTACAATAATTATATGAGCTATCCAAATTGGTATCCCTAATTTTAGTACGTCAGTTTGATCTTTTTTGCCTGTTTCTTTCTCTGGTTGTTCCAATCGATTCAAGCGCTGAGAACCGAGAAACCCGTTTATGCACAAGTGGTCTGGATCCTGAATGTAAGGCTAGTAAAATATATGGTGTGTCCGATTTAGATGTCCGTCCGATTTAGATTCAATCTAAATCTTATATAGATTGAACAATAATATAAACATGCTTAATATATGTTCTTAAGCGTTTTCTGTAGTTTTTAACTTTAATAGGATAATAGTAAGCATTTAATAGGAAAACAAGAAAACAAAAAATTCTCAAAAAAAAGACAATAAAATTTCTTTGAAAAGCGCAGAAAATTGCAAAAAAACGCTTAAGAACATATATTAACCCATTCGCTGCAGCGCTAATTGAGCTATTTTCATTCAATTAATTGCTTTTTTTTGCTGTTTTTCAGCATTACATGTATATTCCAATTGTAGCAAATCTACAAATTACGTGGGCAAAAAAAGATGTTTCATATTTACCCGGAATCAATGCAGTCTCTGGTTTTGCATTGAAACGTTCCATAATAGCTCTAATCTTATAAAGCCGATCTCCTGCAGGATCCAGTTCATTATCACAAAAACGCAGGTTTCGAAGAATAGATTCAAATTTTGCTCTTGACATAATGTGGGACATGTGGGAAAATCCTCCTAATCCAGGCCTGCTACTCCAGTAGTCACGAATCCTCGGTAATTTGACGATTCCCATTTGAAGCCAGGAAGAGCTTGAAAGATTTTGCATCGAAATCCTGCCAGTTTGTTTTCCTTTTTCCATGTTTATTAGATTCGCCTACTAAAATATTGTCGTCGATAAAATAAGAACAATAATCGATAGGATCTTGAAAAGTACTGAAGTCAAATCCAAATCGTTCTTCATCAAAAATAAATGGTGTAGGAGACTCTCTTACATCTTTCCAACCATAAATAAACTGCTTCGGAGTCAAAAATGTCAAAAAAGGGCTTGGTCCGTAGACGAAAAAAAAAGAAAAAACGCTGCGGTTTCGAATGGGTTAAGCACGTTTATTATTGTTCGATCTGTATCGGACGTCCGATATAGACTGTAATCAATAAAAGACCTTTGAAAAATGCAGAAAACTACAGAAAACGCTTAAGAACATATATTCAGCATGTTTATATTATTGATCAATCTATATAAGATTTAGATTGAATCTAAATCGGACGTCCGATATAGACTGTAATCTAAATCGGACGTCCGCGATAAGTTCAATCTAAATCGGCCGGAAATCTAAATCGGACACAACATATATAAATATTAATAAACCAAAAGCATATTACGTTTTTTGTTTCAGTTGATCGCCATCAGTCTGTCGCTAGTGTTAGATATCGTGGCTGCATTGAGATACCTCAACCATGTCTTGAATGAGGAAACAGCAACCATTTATTTTTCAGGTGAGTCTCTTTATTTACTTCCATTTCAAGTTATTTATTTACTTCCATTTCAAGTTATTTCAGCGCTTTTGATCGAACTCGCTATTGACGTTCCGTGGAATATTTGGGCTCTGTTTCTTGTTTACTCATTTTATTCATATCTCAGGTTTGATCTGCTTGCAAAATTGGTTTGGTTGATTGGTTAATGAAAGCGTTGACTTGAGAATCATAAGAGCCATAAATTTAAAACTTTAGAAAAGCTTTTAAGTTAGTAACTGTCAGTAAATTTAAATGTCAGTAACTTTAAGTAAGTAAGTAACTTCAAACTTTAGTAGTTAAATTTTAAGTAAGTAATTAGCTTTTAAGTAAGTAATTAGCTTATAAGTAGCTTCAAAGTAAAAGGTTTTTTATTCATTAAAACCTAGGCTTCTATTGGGTTGTCCAGTTATGAATGCGTGTTTTTACTATTTTGTAAATTTTTCAAGATATCGAACAGATGCATATGAGTGTTATATATCATTCGAAAGCTGAAGATCTCCTCTACATTTTGATATAAAAACCTTTGGAATTTGTTCAGCTTTTGGGCAAATTGACTGCACAAAGGGAGAGGTCGTTTTCGAAAAAACCCATTCCAGCTATTCCTCAAGTTTTATGGTGTAAAATAACCGCCCAAAAAAGAAAAGAAAAGTAAAGATGCTCTGAAATTGTTATATTTTTTTAAAGTTGTATTGATATATCTATTGGCCAAACATCAAACGGTTAACTCAATTTGAGCGGAGCCAAAACTTGATCCAAAGGCACCCTTCCATTTTTTGGCCACCTCTTCTTCTGTGCAGTCAATTTGCCCAAAAGCTGAACAAATTCAAAAACTTTTTATATCAAAATGTAGAGGAGATCTTCAGCTTTCGAATAATACTCATATATATCTTTTTCTTGATTTCGGTATCTTGAGAAATTTACAAAATAGTAAAAAACGCGCATTCATAACTGGACAACCCAATAATTTTAATTTAATCAGCTCCAACTTAGAAATTATAATGTTTTGTTTAAGAGATCGCCAATTGTGGAAAGAGGGACGGGGCCAACCGATGAAAAAAAGTCAATTAGAAGAAAGCGCACCGATTTGCGAGGTTTAAGAGAACACGAACGGAGATTCACCTAATCAATTTTGTGTAGTTTTTATTTTATTTATCGCGTCGATTCGCTGCGTTTTCTTTCGTTTTTCTCTTTATTTTCCTTTCTTTTAGCAAGTCATCACTAAAATGCATTTTTTACGGTTTTTTTTACGGTTTTTTACGGTTGGTGTGTTACCAAAAGAAAGAAAAAGCCCGTCCGCGACAAAATTTTCAACTTTTTTGCTTTTAAATAAGTTAAGTTGAAATTTCTTGGGGTAATTTTTGACCCTGATCACGAAAAACATGTTTTTAGTCGAGGTTTCTAAGGGAAAAACCGACGAAACGCTATTTTTGCACTTTTTACGGTCTGATCATTTCTACCAAAAACATCTGTAAAAACTTTAAAATGCAATGAATCGATAAGCGGGTTTTTTTCGTTGAATCCGCTTGATAATTAGCTTTCGAATGAGCTATTGCACGTTCAAATTGCTTGAGTTTGAGACCGTCTCCCAAAAAAAAAGCGCACAAACTTTTCGTACCACCCAAAACTTACAAATCCCATTGTATGTAGAGAGAAAGTGGTCGCACTTGAGAAAAATGAAGCGATGGATGGAAAATGATCATTCACCGCTTGAAACTCTTTTTACTGTGTGGCTTAAATGCAAATTTTCGATTTTCCGACACTTTCTGAGACATCTATGCAAATTTGGGCAAAGACAAATGCTGGCCGTTGCTCTTCCTTATTTGCTTGTGTGCTTTTTTCGCATTGTTACAGCTCTGAATTCGTCATTATGCCTTGTATTCTACTGTTTGTGTGACCCAAACGATTAAACCTTTTGAACACCAGCTTCTCAAACAAATTTATCAGGCTTCAAGAAGAAGAAGAAAAAAAGGGTAAAACGGGTACACATATTTTGGGATTTTATACACTACACTTATCGAAAATTGTTTAAACGCTTCTTTGACTATTATGTTTGTCGGGGATTCGGGTTCGGGAAAGGGGAAAATGCAAATTTTGAACATAAAAAACGAGTCCAGAAATCGTTTCCCTTAAAAAATAAATTATGAAAAATTTGTGGATGATTGGACGTGGTGTGAATTTGAAATGAAAAATTCAAAGAGTACTCACACAATTCACGGTTCATTATGGAGAAGCGGGGAGAAAATGCAAGTTTTCTGGGAATGTTTCAAAGAGGGTCGATCGGTTTCTGTAGAAATATTTCAAAACGCGATAAAAAGGAATGATGGCATTAGATGCATAATAGGAGGATTATTTCTGAAAGTTACAGTACATGATTGGTTCAATTATGATTTGCCAACATTAAATTTGTCACAAAGTACATATGGAAAACTTAATTAGTCACAAAAAGCAGGTTGGTTTGGTTGACACATATTAAAAACCGACTCGAATTCACCTCAATTATGAACTTGTTCGAAATGACGAGAATTTCTCAAATACTTTTTTTATCACAATAAAAAGGCAATAATAACAGAACGGAAAACACGAATGGGTGGGTGGGGGGTCAAATTTGATGGAGAATCTCCCCGAATGCAAAAGCCATTGGGAATAGTTGGGGAACTCACATCAAAAACACCCCAAAACAATCTCTCTCGTAAAACACAAAGGGTAAAAAGAAAAAAACAGCAAACAATTATCACAAACGTGCGTAAGAAAGGTCAGTCAAAGGAGATAAAACTTGTTAGACACTTCCAGAAAACAGAAACATTAAAAGACTGATTAAAAGGTGGAAAGTCTATAAGTGGGTGCTGATAAAAAGAAAGGGATTAGTTCGGCTAAAAATAAATGGATGCACGATTTACACGTAGGAAAATTGTTGACGACGAAGTGCTATAAGTTGTGATGGTTGTTGTTGTTGTTTGAATGGGTAGCTCACACGCGTAGATTTCCTTGGAATAGGTCAGTCGACTTCTAAAAAATAAACTTCATATGGATTTAAACTTTAGTGGTAGTTTAAAGATACATTTTCTCATACTACAGTAAGCCAACGCAACAAAAAAATCAGCCTTATTGGTTGTACGGCCTATACTGAACTCCTTCCCCTTTTTAATAGACTATTCAATTTGCTGATAAATTTATTTAATCAAGAAACCGAATAACTAACCTTAAGTGTGAATAAGTGGGAAAAGTGGAGCCATCGGCTGACCGAGTCCAAACTGAGCCGGATCAACCAAGAGTTGAGGAGCATCAGCAAGTGTCATTGGACGAACGCGCAGAAGTGCCTCTCCAGTCGTCGTAGCTGTTGGCCATCTAAAAGCAAAAGCTAAATCCAATTTTCAAAAACCAGTAGCTACCTGAGCATTTGCACACTCTCAACAGCAGTATCCGGAGTGGTGAACTGATGCATGATGTCTTGTGCGGTGACGCCGAAAGTGATTCCGGTTACAAGCACCTGAAAAAAAGAAAATAAGTATTATAAAACAAGCAGGAAAGTCTCCTATGCTCAAAATTTACGTTTCCAATAAAATTTCTACATTTCTTGCAAAAATTTTGAGCACAGTGACCACAATCAACCAAGGATATTCAGCCCTAATCGTTGACCATTTTTCGAATAAAGTTGTTCAATCGTTGAGCCTATCTTCTAAATCGTAGACTAGGTAATCGAAAGCAAGAGAACAACTTTATCCAAAGACATAAGCATTATGACATTTGCCAAAGGTTAAGCCCGTCTCTATTCCCTTTGCCAAAAATTAGCCGAATCGAGATAAATGCATCAAAAAGGACATAGCAAGACCCCTGAAGAGACTCTTTGCCGCCACTCTTTTTTCTACTCCAAGGTGGAAAGCAACAACCAAAAACCACAGTTTCCAGAAAAGCCCAATTGATATGTGTGAAAAAGAGTTACTCTTTCGCCAAATTTGGTGTTCAAGTTGTGCCAGGGATCATGATTTTACACCACTATAGATATAATATAAGGGTTGTTTCTTCAAAGCCAATATACTCAAGCAATGGATACCTGTCCTCCCGAACCAAGCATCATGTTTGGCGAAACAGGTGGCGATGGATATGGCCAGTACATAGCACCAAATGGTAGAGGCATAGCAGCTGACGGAGCGGTGATCGGGAAAGGCAAACGAGGCTGCACTTGTGGAAGGATGAGCGGTGGAGCGGGGGCAGCGGCTTGCTGTGGAGCCTGCATCACCTAAAATTTATAGTTTAGAAGAAAATGTAATACGTTAAGTATGCGTAAACGATATTAAACGTAAACGTCATGTCGTGTGTAATCACTAACCAAATGCATATCATCGGGCGAACATTGGAAGACCTAAACAAGAAAAATTTTAATTGAATTATTTAAGCGAACTACCTCGATGTAGCGCTGCTTTTTGCCAGTGTTCATGAACTTGTTGTGAGTGGTTGCAGCACATCCGGAAGCCGCTTGCTCAGAATTCATCTGGATGAAGCACTCGCCGGACGGATGGCCTAAAAATTTTAATAATTACTCGTTTATAAAGGGATTTGACCTATTCTAAGATATTTGTACCCGACTAAACCCAAAACCCTCACCTTGTGCATTGAAAACCATGTGAACTCCTTGGAAGACAATGTTCCGAGCGTGATCTCCGAGGAAGCGAACCACATCCTCAACTCGAGCCTCGTATGGAAGTCCACGAAGACGAACACAGTCGCGTCGAGTAGCAGTCACCGGTGGCGTCATTTCGGCGGAGCGTTTCATGACCTGTAAAAGAAAATATTAGAAAGAAGCCATTTAGATCGATAAATTTCTAATTTATCCCAAAAAATTCAGGAAGAGACATTCTGATAAATTTTGCTCAAAAGTCAGGAAGAGGATTGAATGGGGAAAGAAGTGGTCCGAGGAGGAGGGGTGCCCGTGCGCGGCGATGATTTGCATAATTGGTTTGTCGGTCTCAAGGAAAGCTCCGGGAATAAGATGGGTTCTTTGGATACGAAAAAAATGCGAGGTGATTCTTGGGAAGACCGTGATGGGAGAAAAAAACGCATGTATAAAGTTTTCCGAATATTTTATCGCAGGAGATCAATGACAATTTGTCTAGTCTATAAACGTGGAAGCAAAAAATCGGACTGAAAGGAAATTTTTGGAGACTGGTTACGTGTGGCAAAAATCGATGCTCAATACTCGCAACCCCGCAATTACAGGTATGATGAGACATGAGCCCGAACAAAGCTCACAATAGAAAAAGAAAGGCTAGGGTATTAGTTGGTCGACAAAACCTATGCGCGACAAGCATTCTCCGAAATTTTCAAACTCGGAAAAACTATCTTTCAAACAAAAAGCCCAATTACGTGCAAAAGTGTGCACTTTTTTAAGCTGCATGTGACGATAAGCCTCCACATCAGCCAAACCAAGCACGATAAGCCAGGTAACTGTTTTCAAGTCACTTTCTGCCAACTTTCAATTCTGTTAACAACCTTTTTGCCGCCCTTTAACTAATCCTCTACTGCACTTTAAAATAAAATCTACAAAAGCACCTACCATTTTTCTCTCTACAGTAACGCCCCTTTGCTGTCGCTTCTTGTTGCTATCCGAAAAATTTCTTACATGGCTTGAGGTGGTCTAGAAGAGAAAAAAAATAGCTGACTACCCCAAATCCTAGCAACACACTTTAAATAAAGACTTAAAGCGCACAAAAGGATCAAAACCCTTTACCTGATTGACTTCGGCGGTGGTGGAGCGAAAGAGTTCAATGTATCGGCTTCCAATCGTTTGTCGGTGCTTCTTAAGCGCTCGAAGACCCGTCTCCTCATCACCAAAGAGTACAAAGGCATCGCCAGTTGGTCGTCCATCAGGTCGCGTCACGAACATCACCCCCGAGTCCATCATTTCCGCTGGCTCGGGCTCGGACAAGAAGAATTCTTTCTAAATTAAACAGATTAACTTGGAATGTAATTTATTTTCATTTTAACCACTGTTATACTAATACTAAATTTGTTTCATCCTTAAAAGCTCCAAATTTTTCTTTATTTCATCTTCATTGCCAAAAGTCTCTTTGATCTCACTGCCGCATCAAAATTGGTT